TAACAGCCTGTTTCAATCATGCCGTGTTGTCGACTATTTGAGAGCTGAGATTTTACGCCTCCTCCTCTTGACTTTCTCCAGCCTAAGCACATCCGATTTATTTAGTTATTTGAACAAACCTGTGGGTCAAACATGAACTTTAGGAAGGAACCATGAAGATTATGTGAGGTTTATAAATGCCCCCCCTCCCCTCCGCCCTAATTTATTCTCCAAAATATATCCAGTTTTCCCATGTTTCCTGTTACCTAGTTACCGGATGAGATACAAATCATATTTTCGTCAAGCTTCTTCAATAGATGTTGTTATCTGCCTTGTTGAGAATGGAAAAACAAGGACATGCTGTTCTCTTCTCCTCTCTCACTGGTCGTCCTACAGCTCTCAGTCACTGCAAACGCAGAAGTAGCAGGTGCTGGATCATGCTGTGTGTGTATGTGTGTGTTTGTGTGTGTGTGCAGTTGAAACCTGTCTATCTCTGCTGCTGACAGGCAGACAGTTGTCCTTCAGTTGTGCTTAGGTAAATATACTGCTATCTGTCACATTACTTTTCCATGCGGACATGCCCTCTGTGTGCTTTGATAGCTGCGGAAATACCAGCTAACTAATTGTGGAAAGACAGTGAAGAATCCTGAACACATTGTGCACATCACACACATGCTTACTCACAAGTCTCTCTCACACACACTCATGCAGAGAGAGAGAACAAAGAGAGTGGGTCACCGCAGGGAACGTTGTGATGGTAGATGAGCCGGCCACTTTTCAGCCGGTGTAACTCAACTCCCCTCCTCTCTTCCTCGTCCCCCCCTCCTCTTCCTCCTCTCATTCCCTCAGGATGTCCACTCATAGAGACCGCATACATTAGTAATGAGCATGCTCACTTCTTACACAGCGATCAGGCTGGGGGTGTTTCAGCGTCAGGGGGTTAAAAACAAACAGTACATGCTATTATGGAACATGATCTCTGAGCGTTCCCCCATCTCTCCTCATGCCAAAACATCAATTTAAGTGAAGGAAGTACTGTGTGTGTGTGTGTGTGTGTGTGTGTGTGTGTGTGTGTGTGTGTGTGTGTGTGTGTGTGTGTGTGTGTGTGTGTGAAAGACAACCTTATCGGTTATCACACATGGAGTTTGATGACATAAGAGTCATATTATCTGGCAAAGGCTCATGGAAAATTCACAGTTTGCTTAAGAGCTTAAAAGCACTCTGTAGATAGGGCAAACAAGTGCTTTGTTGACATTATAAACACAATTACAGCGAAATCAGAGGAGTTTTCAAACAAACAATAGCTGGTTAACATTTGAGTAGGATTTAGATTATAGTGATGTTATACTGGTTTGTGATTCTTAGTGGGAAATCTTGTTACACAAGGCTGAGTTTTGCCAAGGTTGTAATTTTCATGATTCGATGCAGAGAACCTGCAGATTTTTTAAGCTGCACTAATCATTATTTATTTTCAAAAATACTCCAAAGTGGAAAGTGTCACCTGTAGTGACGAAGCCCTCACCTCAATGCAGCTCTCAAGCATTTCTCATTGTTTTTGCTTTTCATGACGACATTTATGTTTTGGTTAATGCCATGATATACTGGCTGTACGCTAAGGTTAAAGGGTTGTGAAATGGTTCAAACCGGTTTGTAATAAAGCTAAACACTGGACCGGACCGATACATTGAAATGTACCACCAGGTGTCACACTTACAACCAAATCTTAGTATTGAGTGTGAGAGAGTCTGCTACTCACCTGAAGCATTAACAAGACACGCTTTAAACATGTCAGCACCTCCTATCGGCATTGAGGATTAGGGATGTCACAAGAACTGAGTGTGATCTAGTAAAAATATGAAAACATAATGGTTCTCATTTTTGTGTAGGAGGATCCATTTATCAACATTGTGATGTGTTCAAGCTCCATTCAGTAATGTATTTGGCGAAGGTAAACTATAATGAGTGTGTGTGACTCACAGCGACGCTTTTGACACAGCTTGCTGATGTAGGTTATTCTGAAATTTGCCAGAATGAAAAATCTGTAGAAAAATAAAACTGTTTAACCATGTAGACAGGACTAGAACGGCAAAATCGGAAATCGACATACTCTACTGTATGCTACAATCTCAGCAAGAACGACAAGGTTAACAACTAACCAACGACAATAGCAAAACAGATTCAAATCATAAACCGATAATCAGTAAACAGTGTCTGTTTTACAGAATAGGAAATCAAAACTGTTTTATTAGGTCACTTGAAAACATTCTTGAAAGCCCATTTAGAAATAGCTTTGCAACAGGGTGTGTTCTCTGACATCAACAGGGTCTCAACACACTAATAAACCTGATAAAAATAGACACATATTAAAGATATTTAATGGGTGCTTCAATTATGTTATATTTCAATTCAATAAAGGGGGGGATCTCAACATAAATACAGTTTGCAGAGGGTGACCCTGCTACCCTTATACAACATGTGTGGGTTCTACTGCTGTTTATTCACAATTTAATGGATACAGTGTATATACAATTAAAGTGATTTGGTTAACTGCTCTTTTGACTTTGGGGGTGAGAGAATGCATTTTAAATGAGCACTCTTAACACTTGGCTGTCCCTGTATTGTGGTGAGTCACACTCTTCCCTCTCCTCTGGCTTTTTTTGGATTGTAGCGTGCTAAAGTATTTGCTAATTCTCCTCGAAACGCATAAAAGGAGTCAAGACATTCACACATTCCTGACTTGACCTCTCTTCTGCGCTTATTTGGAATGGTTAAGTAGAAATGAGACTAAAAATGGTATCACAGAGACACGAGGTCAGCTCTGAAGTTTAGCCCGCCGCCCCGAGGCACTTAGCTAGAAAAATACCAGGTGCACTTACATGGAGAGAAGAACTGGAAATAAAACAAGATGGAAGGAGTGAGGATTATGAGAAGTAGTGCTAATCTTCTTTTTTGTTGAAATGCTAATTGTTTTACCACAGTGTTCATCACACTGCACCAACTGTGTTTCACAGCTTGCTCTGTCATCAGCAGCTCTGCGTGTGTCCGACAGGGCGATGACGTGTTCATCTGCACAGAGCAGAAGACAACCTGTATTTAAGAGCATATTCCTATGATAACGATCACTTAAAAGTACTCAGCTGTTATGAAAAAGACAGTTATTAGGGAAAGCTAAATGGCAGTAGATCAAATAGTAATTGTAAAAATAATGCTATAGGCTTTAAAAATATACTAAATATGATCCTGTGGACTAACGGCTAATGTTACATCTTTTGGCGTTATATTTCCTTGGCAATAGTGAAATAAATCTATTTCTAGAATTGATATGTCCTCAGGTGTTGCATAATACTATAATCTACAGTTCATACTTTTAATGATTTTATTTATTTTTTAAATTTAGTCCGAACTTTATTTTACTTTCCAGTCCTGAAGTAACATATTGCAATGTTGTGTTAAATGATATGTCGAGTTAGCAAATATTTACAGCTTCTCATATAAAAGTTATTGTTTCACATAACTTTTTTAAAAGATGACTTGAATGGATTTGTATGAGCATTATTCACTGTTATGGGGAAGTTTTATAGAACAAACAATAAGTTGATTAAAGAAGAAAAAGTGTTAGATCACTTAATCATGAAAATAATCATTGTTAGTTTCCGCCCTCTAGTCGTGCACAGCTCAACCATTTATGGAAATTAGATTACGTCATGGCTTTCACTCAGATTTAACCTTCAATATTCATTAAACCTCAACAATTGTTATCGTTATGAAATAGAGTATGATTTGTTTGGAGTCACATAATGTCAAGAAAGATAAGAGCAGATGTATCTGGGCAGGAGTTTATGATGGATTTATCCAAAGGAGACTGTAGAACTCATTTGAGTGTGCTGAGTTTACAGATACCTGCCATCAGTAAGCTGTCAGTAATGCTCAGAGGCAGATCTCACGGCTGACATGCTGCCTGTGTTCCTCCAGCTGACACACACACACTGAACACACACATACACACTCCATCCTGGTGAGAGCTGCTGTGTCAGCCCAACAAGAGAAGTGTTGTGGGAGTATTTCAATCTGCTGTTCTCACTGAAAATATATTGAGACAAGCATTGGCTCACAATCCTGGCCTGATTTGATAGGGGCCGATTGATGTTGACTGCACACATTGGCTCTCAGGAGACATGAATAGATTAAAGGAGAAAGGCAATGATATGGCCACTTGATTGTTGTGTGTTTTTGCAAAAAAGTTGGTGCAAAGTGATGTGTGTCCATCTTGATTTTCTTGGAAAGACTTGTTTTCATAGTCATGTTTCTGTTGTGCTGGGAGACGGTCGGCTAGGAGACAACGAACAACGCTTCTGATTACTCCGAAACAACGCTCCCGGCGGCCTTCTTTCATTTTCCTTTCGCCCTCCTACTGAGCCGCTTGATTGAGTTCACAGCTGCGGACGCCAACGAGTAATAAAACATGGGAGATATGGGAACATATCATATGGGTGTAGTTAAAGACCAAGTGTGGTGCATGAGGATAAAAGGGGCAAGTGGTCGGAGAGAGGAGAGGATTACATAAAAAGACAGGAAGGGAGAGGATTGAGAGACAGACAGTATCCGAGAAGATTGAAGGACAATAAGCGGGAAGTTAGAAATAATTTGCCCATTAACTCGATAGCAAACAAAATGGGTGCAGAGCAGTTGGAGTCACGCCTGATGCTCAGAGAGAGGTGTCAGTGAATAACTTAAACCCTCAAACCCTTTTAGCTCACTCTAAATTTGACTCATCCTTTCACCAAAAATATGGAATTAGTGACATCATTAGTGATGGATATCAACAACAATCTCCATTATCTCCAGCAACACTCATTTGTGATGCGAGAGCTGAAACAAGGCAGTTCATTGATTAAGATAAACACATACAAAATATCAATTCTGAAATCAAACTAATAACTCATTATTCAACCTGCTTTATCATTAAACAATGAACATACATATATTTAAATACATTTCTTATCTGTTTGTGTCTTTTGCAGGAGAGGTTCGAGGCGTTGTTTAGGATCTACGATGAACAGACGACTTTCCAGATGTTTAAAAGCTTTCGAAGAGTGCGGATTAACTTCAGCACCCCCGAGGCCGCTGCCCGCGCTCGCATCGAGCTGCACGAGTCCGAGTTCAACGGCCAGAAGCTCAAACTTTACTTTGCCCAAGTGAGTGCCAGTTAATTGGTCTGGGAAAGGGCAGGAAGGGGGCCTGGGACATGGACCGTCTTAGGATAGGCACTGCTCGTTTATATGGGAAGTTATGCTTCAGTGCATCATTCACCGCAACACACACACGCACGCACGCACGCACGCACACACGCACACGCACACACAACAAGGACAAAGAACTCAGGGATGGAGGGTGACTCGCTTTCAAGTCAGTTCACTTCCTCTCTTTTTATTTTCTTCTCTGAACCATAGTTGAATGCTTCGTCAACCTACCAACCCCCCTGTCAAACCTCATCAGTCACATGACTGAACCACATAGACATAAATTCTTGATTTTTCATCTCTGTTCTCTGTGTCTGTGCCTTTAGGGGGAGAGAGAAGAATAAATACATTGAAGTGTGTTTCTAGTGCAAACTCATAAGAATAGCATATATATATATATATTCTGTTCTATGATGAAATTGTTTTACATATCGGCTCATAGCTACACAAATATACATTGTATAATCTATAGGTGAATCAATCTCAGCATGTTTGGTTGAAAGTCAACTAAATTGAATGATTAGCAAGTCCAGAAATGCTATTGAAATGTAGCCACCAAGGCTATGTTAAAAAAAACACCATAAAGCCTAAATGCATAGCTGTTATTTGGCCTTAAATAATCAAATTGTGGATAACTGGGTAAACATGGTCAAATTGTTGCCCGTTTTTACACAGTCAAACACCAGTCATGACCCCCTCTGCACCTCTAAGTACTTTGATGTAAGAGGATTAAGGATTTTACCCCACAGTTGCCACATGTTGGTATCGTAATGATGGCAATTGGGTGCTATCAAAACGCCAAATCCCCTCTCCTGGGAAGGATCCTGCAAATTGAGACTAAGTGACTGGAGCTGTGACTGCAAACTAATGGGTTTTTCCTGCTCATAAGTTTCAGGATTATGTGAGGAAAATACCGGATCTTTGACAACTATACCAATTTGAGCTTTGCATTACTATATTATAAATGTTTGAATTATTATTTATATTTATCCTCTGTTGCCTCAGGCAGTGTGGCATACATGTAGGTTGCTGCTGTGTCCACTATCCAAAGTTCAAAGGCTTTATTGTCATATGTACGGCTACAGTGTAGTTAAACAATGAAAATCTTAGGTCCCAGGCTATCGATAAGACATAAAACAATACAAGAACATTACAAATAGTGCATGAGAATGTTGCAAGATAAATGTGCAAGTAATGCAGGGTAAGGGAAATGTATACAGGTGTGAAATGAAATGCTGTACAGTTAAATAAAATAATGCTTATTGTAACACTAGATAAATATGTGAAGTGCAAACAGTTGAATGGTATGAAGTTGTGAAGGCACAGAGATAGGTATTGTTTTTATTTTATTTGTATTTACTTGCACTATTTGATCTGTTTTTATTGTGTTGCACTGTTGTTGGAGCCTGTGACCTAAGATTTCCATTGTCATAACTACACTGTAGCTATGTACAAATTACAATAAAAGCCTTGAACCTTGAATCTTGAAATGTATAGAGAGACAGATGTACACATTATAACCAAGAACATGAAATATTCTTCACAGAGAAATTGAACAGCTTTGACCCACTTTGAATCCCCCTGACCTCTTCTTAAGAGCACTACAGCCTTTATCAATGTCCCTCTCCTCTCCCATAGGTCCAGAGTGGGGGTGAGGACATCGACAAAACGTACCTGGCCCCTCCCCAGCCCACCAAACAGTTTCTGATCTCGCCGCCTGCCTCGCCTCCTGTGGGCTGGAGCCAGAGCGAGGACGCTACGCCCGGCATCAACTACGACCTGCTGTGTGCAGTCGCCAAGCTCGGACCTGGTCAGTCGATCTGTATGCACCACGCTCACACTCAGATTAATCGAAACTCACCGGCATGCACATAAACACGCGGAGGAAATTGTGTTTAATGAAGGTATAATTCGTATTTTTGAGTCATCCAGATACAAACAGGAAATAATTTCACGCTCCTCAGCAGGGTGTTAAAGAAAGGTTATTAGTCTAGGAAGCAATTTGACAAAGGGCTTGTGGCGGACGTTGTTGAATCATCTCTGTTTTATTCTTGACTTCTCTCTCAGGCGTTTCAGTAATGTCTTTGAAGCAGCGTTAAGTATAATTTACCTGATCACAGATGCATTTGTATTTAAAACTGCCATTACGTTTCAGATAATGTCATTATGAATAGAGAGTGGCCTTTTAAAATTGATGGGAAAAGGCTGTCAACATAGAATTTCTCCAGTGCTACTGTGCACGTGACAACATAAAGGTTTACATAAATAAATCAACTAAAGCCCATATATGAAATCCACAGTGCTCGCCGCCATCTGTCAATGTCAAGGGTGCTCAACCCTCCCGTCTGCATTCTGACATCTCTAAGGAGATATGCATCCGTCCTTATATCTGTGTGTGTCTGTGTGTGTTTGATTATGGATTTGCATGGTCTTTCATTTCCAGGCTTTCCAAAGCCAACAGTGTAGATCTGCGCAAACACAAGCTAGATTTGTTATGATGTCTAACAACTTGCTCAGAACATGGCCTGCACGCTGTCAGAGTTAGGGTAAGATTGGAAGCTCCGTCAGGCTCTTTACTTAATTTGCGGACGTTTACACTCACATTGGGTAACCCTCCTTCTGGAAATTGTCTAAAAAATAGGAACAATGATGTGCTGTAAACCCAGCTTACAAACAGAGTTTAAAACGTACATGTACCCTTATCGTAAATAGTACTACCTTACAATACAAGATAAATTAAGTTATTCACTCCTTTCAGCATGCTGTTATGTACAGTGGCATATTTTAAAACTTTTTTTTTAGGTTCTAGTTTTAAAAGTAGATATCGGAGGGATGAAACTCTCTTTAATGGTCATATGCAGAGCACACAGCAAACCTCTGCATTTAACCCATCCTAGTACCAGGAGTCTAGCACTAGGAGCAGTGGGCAGCTATTGTACAGCGCCCGGGGAGCAAGGCACCGGACAGGTGCCTTGCTCAAGGGCACCACAGCAGGGTCCAGGAGGTGAACTGGGACCTCTCCAAGTAGCAGTCCACACTCCATATCTGAGGGGTGACTGTTCAGGGACTTGAACGGTTCAGGGACTTGAACCGGCGACCCTACGGCTCACAGTCCAAGCCCCTACTGACTGAGCCACTGCCGAAGTAGTCAGCTAGAGACAGTACTATATACCAACCGACAGAATTTACTTTAGCTAAGTTAGCCATCTGTAGCTAATAGATGACCTGAAAGTGGCTAGGTAAACACACCCCAGTTTCAGAAATTACTAAGAGTTCTATGTGATAAGTCTAAAATAATTATAAGTTTGAATTGTGTATTTTTAAGTGTGGCAAAGTCCCTTGAAAATGATCAATTAAAAAATCGTAAAATTCAGACAAATACTTCACAACAAACTGATAGCTCAGATTCACTGCACCACCAATATATATGTTTGCAGTTCCCATACTTTTACAGTTTTATCCAGTATAGCTCAGCACAGTAACATTCGCTCTCCCAGCAGTCTCGCTCCTAATCAGCTTCTACGCTCAGAAATAATAACTCCTCTGTCTGCCTCGCGGACTAGATTTTAGATTGCAGCAACCTTTCTAAAATGTCACCTAACACAGGGAAATGTGTGGCACATCCACAATGTCTCCATGTTTGTGTCAGTGGGTATGCTCATGCCGGTGAAGTGGAAAACCTAGCTTTTTACTTTTACATCCTTCTCCCAAAAATATTTGATTTAATTTTCAACCCAACAGTATTTTATATTGTATATGTTTCGGCATATATCAGGGATGAACTAACTTCCACTCCCAAGTAACCTTACTGGTAATACAACATACAATAACTTGTACACACACTGTCTAAAGAAGATGGTGGTTACAGTGAGTATGAGAATAAATATGGCATTAGGAAGAGGAGAAAATACATTTGAAAATGCAGGTTCAAGCAAACATCAACTTTTGTTTTCAACTAAGAAATGTCATTTTGGTGGAGTCTACGTATGAAAGTCTGTATGTTTTAATATATATCCCTTAAATGTATTTAGCTCTTAACAGAGTTAGTGCGATTTATCTTCTGGTTGTTTTCTATTTCAGGCTGAGATTTGCACATCTGTTTTTATTTAGTGTGTATTATTGGGATGTCTGGTCTTGAAGCAGCAATTTCCCTTTCTCTGAGACAATTTTATCCCAGGGAAGCCAATGAGCTAACCATAATAATAATATTAATAATAGCAATAGTATCAGCTTAATAAAATGTTTCTTAATATTGAAGTTATGTATAAGAGGTCACACAGCATACAGAGGGCCTCCACATCTCTTTACATTTTTTACCAAATCCACCGCAGCATAGCTGTTTTTTTTATTTATTTATGCACAACATTATTTCCTCCAATCATTGAGAGAATGGGTGGGGCAGCTTCCTTCCATCTCAGCATAACTGCACGTCGAGCTGGGAAACATCACTTCTAGTCAGTATTTATTTGAACACTATTATCTTTTTTATCATCAACAAAAGCATGATTAAACTTCACACACACACACACACACACACACACACACACACACACACACACACACACACACACACACACACACAGAGAGTGTCCAGCTCAGAGGATCACTTTGGACACTTTCTGCTGTTACCATGGCAACACGAGGAATCAGGAAATGGCTTTGTTCCACGCCTCACATCCTGGCATCTGAGATCAGATTAGCGTTGGGCAGCAGCACGGCGCGCTGCCTCCCCCTGTCAGGTCCCCGCGGTAACAGCAGGACTCTATTCACGCTCCGTCCTTCTGTTTGGCACCACATTGAAAACGCCAGTAGACCAATTTCCTCCTGTCTGCCAGCTGTCTGATCTCATTTCCATGGCAACTGTGATACAATCTAGCAAGTGGCTTTGAAACCATGTGCCGACCTGATCCCGAATGCTTCGATGCACTGGAAAGACAAACTGTAGATCGTTTTGTGCTGTAGGAACAACCTCAGTGTGTTATAAATAGTAACAATAAAAATAATTATGAAACTCACAAGCATGGTATTTCAACCAGAGCTGCTTAAGCGTTGATCTCCCTATCAATAATGATGAAATAAATAATTTGATTAAAACAATAAAGATAAGATGTAGAGGTCTGCTTAGTTCTCTTATTTATTTATCTATTTTGAATTTGGCTTTGTTGATATTATGATTCTGTTCTTTCACATGCACTATTTTATTCAAATGTATCGTACTCTGTTTCATTGCAATATTTTCATTTACGTTTTTTCTAGAATTCATAAATTAAGGTCCACCTATTCGACCCCAGTGGAGGGCCAGCAATATTTGTTTTATAAGGTGTTCTTTTTAGTTTGTTGAACTCCAAATCCATAAAACCAAATGACAAAAAACCCTGAACCTGCCAGACAGAAGAAAGAAAAGAGAAAGAGTGAAGGACTTACTTATACAAGAATATAAATAAAAGCAAGAAGAAATAAAAAAAAAGATATCATGACAATTGAAGACAATAAGTACAGTTCTTCACAAATTTTATTGTCACAAATGAATTGAATGTATCACTTTATTTGATCCCCTTCTTCTACTCTTCCTCTCTTCCAGGTGAAAAGTACGAGCTCCACGCCGGGACAGAGTCCACCCCCAGCGTGGTGGTCCACGTGTGCGAGAGCGAGACGGAGGAGGACGAGGCAGCGCGGCCAAAGCAGCAGATTGTCCAGACCAGACGTCCAGATGAACCCCCCAAAGTCTTCAACTAGAGAGGCCTCCCCCCGACACCGGGCGCGGCCCCCGACCGCCCTTTAAACCGCAACACACCTGCCCTCTCTCTCTCGTCTCTGCACTCACAGAGAGCGTCGATGCCCCTCATTTCAGTTCAACTACAAGTTAAAAACAAACCAACAGACATTGCTCGAAGACGGTGTTTGTGGGGAGCGTGGCGATGGAATGAGGCGGCTTGAAGGGGATGGATGAGAATCACACACACACTCATCACATTCTGCGGACAGCGTGGGGAGCGGCGGGCACTTTTGCCTCCACCCCACAAACCACCCCTCGTTTTCAGCAAGAGGGGCGGGCATACCTGTCCCAACGCAGGCACCTGTCACTTATCACACACTCTCAGCTCTCATTGCTAGTCCTTCTCGGTAGCTTGCTAGTTAGTTAGCTTGTTAGCTTTTACCTATCCCTTCGTCTCACAGTCGTGTGTCTACAATAGTCTTTGGTTAAACAAAGACATATTTTTTCTTTTTTACGATAAATTGTGTTTCAGATTAACAAATATACTACTATTTTTTTCTTCTTTTTCATTTTCATATCTGCTGGTTTGTCGCTTCAACTTGCATCAAGATTGAGTGTGTGATGTTCCCGCTCTTGTCTGCATGTATATACTGTATTACAAAAAATACGTACAGAAACACAAATACTAACGAGATATATCAAGAAAAAGGAACCTATTTAACATCACACACAGCACGAAGCGACATATGTGACTAACAAAGTTGTGGTGGCTGTTTGACTTTCTTTCTTTTTTGTTGCTCGTTTTTTGCTTATTGTCTTTTTTATTTGGAGAGGTGTTGTTTTTTGCTGAACTACTAGATGTGTATTCTTACTATGTATTTGATACCCCAACACTTTTTGCATGCTTAGTTAATTCCGTAGATGAGGAGCTGAGGTGTTTTTTTATTGTTGTTTGTGATGACAGGAAAACAGTGTGAAGCTTTTGACGCAAGTGCATATCCCCGCGCAGAGTTTAAAAGTGACGTCTTAGGGGGAAAAAAAGCCGAATGGTGATTGACACTTTTGGCAAATGTGCATTTGTCGCTTTTGTTGGGATTTGATGGATCAGAGACAGTTCATCCCCCTCATTTTTCTTCAAGAGGTTTGGGATGTGGATTTTTTTTTCCTTCTGATTCTGTTTGTTATAGCTCACATCTTTAATGTCATGCTGTTTGATCAAACCCAATTTCTATGTGTCAGGTTTTTCTTCTGAAACCTACGACTGCTTGTTTTGCACTGAGTATCTCTAGATATCTCCAAGCAGTTGCGAGGCTTTTGACCGTCTCTCGCTCCAAATACTGCGCTGTTTCCCGCTGTAAATAGCTGAACAGTAGGTCTGTGGAATATTCCTTTAAGAAGTTTTTGTTTCAAAGCATTTTGCTGAAAAAAAAGGGAAAATTAGGTAGCCTGATGAAATATCAACCAAAGCATTCACTCACCCCATAAACATTTCTTACACTCACATTTATTTTGTTCAAGTGAGTAGAAAGGAATCATTTCCCAACCACACTTTTTATCCATCATGTTTTATTTCATAAGTATCTAGTTGAGTGGACAGTCTCCAAACCAACATTTTTCCCTTTTTTAAATTTAATTCTCCCCATAATCCCGTATCATTTTAATGATACAATATGGAATACAATATTTCAGAGCTTATGAAACAGCATGAACAAATGTTCCCGACAGGGCTTTTGAGTGTCAGCGGTGAGTCTAAACCTTCTTTGGCATTTGGCAGCATGAAATCTAAAAATACGTTTTTGCTACGTAACAATAGCAGTAAGCAAAATAAAAAACCCATCTGCATGTGAGCACTTTATTGTCACTGTTTTGTTTGTTTCCTTCACATAAAGTAGTCCTTCTCTAGACAACAAAGTAGGAAACACATTGCATTTCTTCTGTTTCGTTTCTTTATTTGTTTTTTTTATCTCAAGCTGAACACCTGGTTAGCCTTTTCACCAGCATATTGCAGTGAGAGAAACACTCCACTTCCTTTTGCTAGTGTAAACCTTGGAGAATTTCAAGCCTTCTTTTGGATCTTTGGAAGTGAACCACTGAAAAGTTGTAGACACGCAGGACAGTTAAAGGTTTTAAATGAGACAGGATAACACCGCAGAGCAAAATCAATGTCTTTGTTTTTGGTGTTTGTCTGCAAGGAGCATTCATTTTATCTGCTGAGAAAGTTCAACAGTTGTTTAAAATGTTGGCAGAGTGCAGTTTTAAAGGCACTACAGTAAAGCTGTCACAGTTATGTAATCAGACAGAAGATTGGTGGAACTACTGAGGTGCATTATGGTAAAGAGGAAGCAGCGGAGCAGGAGGAAGACACTCATGAAGATTTTTTTACTCTCGTGGTCATGGTGTTTAAAACCGGGTGCATTTTGGTCACAGTTGAAATGAAATTGTATATTAATGTAAATATGCCAAGTGTTTTTTTGTTGCTGAGGCCAGTCCCAGTGTGCAGTTTGTTACGGCTTCTCTTGGCAATGTTGTAATGTAAAAAAAATATACAAAAATTTGTAATAAGTCCTGAAGATGCGCGATCAAAAACCAACTGTCATTGTGTTGTGTTCAACATGGACTCTGTTTGAATGTTTCTTTAATTTCTGGGGAACGTCTACTAAAAAGGTCAATAATACCGTTTGTCACTGTTGTAATGTTTCTGTTGAAATATGAATATTGTGTCTCGTATTGTAGAAATCCAGAAAACAAAGTAGCAAAACAAGCAATAATTTACAGTTCTATAATACCGGTATGTGTATTTTCATGTTCTGTACTTATTTCTCAGAGATGGTCTCTGTCTCTGTATCTCAGTATCCGCTTCTATTTGTGTAGTATAATAGCCATTTGTTTCACATAGAGAAATACATAAAGACTTATTCTTAAAAGCCATGTTTAGAGTTGTTCATTTTAGGTTTTGTTTTTACTTTAGGGGCCACACAGAATCTCAAACTAAATGTTCAATGTAGGCTATAAAGCATAGCACGGATTTCTTACACATCATCTTCACATTGCATATTTATCTGATAAAAACACTCTTTTAGCACTATTGCTTGTTTGTGCATTTCAAATTGTCATTGCATTCAAATTACAGAGCGACAGTAAGCATCCTTTTTTTGGAGAGGTAAATCATTGAATTACTAAATGTTATTTTCCAGTATTAAATATGTTCTTACAAAACAATGCTTTTAAATGTCCTGTTTTTTATATAATAAGCAAAAATATCTCACTTCCTTCTACCATATAATTTGATCTATAAAACAATATTGCAACTTGGAAAAGAAGATTAAAATTGCAAATATTTTAAGTGAAATATTAATTTTTAACAATATTTATCTAGATAAATTAAATAGTGTTAAGAGATTAAAATATCACTTTAATAGCTGGAGGGTTTTTGGGTTGTTAAAAGACCTAGAAGGAAAACAGGTGCCTGGCTCTGTGACCCAAAAGTGTGATAAAAACATGTTAGACACCAAGTGGGGCTATGGATTGCCAAATCATGCAAATATGTGACATGCATTTAAATTCTACTTTATGCTAAGATGGTACAAACGTGGTCCTGTCACTTGCACCTTACACCTCATATATTTCCCCAAGGACATTACAACAGTTAATAATGTGTATGGTTGGGGCCTTGTTTCAATGGTAAAGACACTGACAGCAAGGTTGAGTTAATGATTCTTCCAGTAAGCAATACTGGATATGAAATGTATTACATGAAAGGTAAGATATGGCAATACAGCCTTGACCTAAAGTTCAACAACCTATTGAATTTCACAGCTGCCGTTTCCTCGTGTCAGCCATGAAGACAGATGACTGGCTGCTCATGACAATAGATGTCTCTCATCCATTTCTCACTGACAAACTACTTCATTATTACATGAAGGGAAAAAAAGCAACAAAGCGAAAACAATGGCACAGTCTCAGCCTAAAGCATGTTTTGCAAAAACTGGTTGAACAAAATATATATGTTTCTACATCTTTTGTTACAGACCCAGTATAAAAAATGTGTTTCCTGACATGGCCACTATACCATTAAGAAGCAGGTATGCAGAAGATCCATTGTCTTATTATACCTGTGTTACTGCTGACTAACAGTTTAAAGGTCAAATTTAGCAGACTGTCTGTATTTTAGAAAGAGCTGATCAACAGCTGTGGGATAAAGGATATCTCTGCTGCCCTCTACGCTCCTTTCACAGCACAAAAAGCACCCTCATGATGCTGGGGGTGAGAAACTTTTCTTCACAATGACCCTTACTGTTGAACGTGAAGATGCATGTGCACTAGGAGGAACGGATCATGTGGCCCGGTGGGTATTAACGGGACCAGTGCCTCCAGATTCCTTTGAAGGTACCTTCCCTGATTAGTCAGCATTCGTCTCAGTGGCTCAATTCAGGAATCTTAAGTGAGGCATTAGTCATCATAAGTTGACACCTATGGTTGGCACATGAGTTTTTAGTAAAATGGCTCCTTAAGCACACATAGTGGAGTAAACAAGTTTTGTGTAATGGGTTTATCCTGACTGAATTTAAACATTTACTTCAGCTTTTAAATCAAAGTCCCCTAATGCAATCAAATGTTGATAAGTACAGTTAGTATAAACACTTGAATCTCCCTCAGGAAGAGATTGCCTGCCCTGTTAAACTGCTGCCTTAAATTGTTAGGAAAAATACAGAAAAATAACTTCAGTTTATGTGAGAGAACTCATCAAAGGATTACAATGAGAATGTAATGTTTGTGGTTGATAGAAAAATATGACATATTGGTGAATGTTTAGCCGGGCTATAGCTTGGTCAATCTACAACTTTGGGCCATATGAAATACCTCAACGATTAAATGCATGGTCATTAATAAAATTTGGTAAGGAATAGATATGCGTCGTCATAAGAGAATAAATTCTAACAAGGTAAGTCATCAAAGGTAGGGTAGGTAAGAATGGAGAAACCAGTTCGAGTTAGCTAGAATTTGAAAGTACACATCCGAAAAAATCTGCTCCTTCCTTCAGAATTCTTTACAGAGCCCCTCCTCCAACACACACGAACGCGCACATGACCAATGAGGGCACGAGATAAGTTTGTGCACGAGATGGAAGGCTGACAGGCAGGTAGGCCATCCAATTATCTGGACTTGCTTTTTACAGCGCCACGGCTTCCACAGATGAAATATTTTTATATATTTATTGTTAAAGCATTTAATTTATTCATTGCTATCGGGATGTTAAGAGCATTCCATGGGATATAACAAAAAGTGTTTCTGAAGTGAATTACCTACCCTACCTTTAAAGTTGTTTTTGTCCATTTCTATTTGCCCAATAGCCTACGATAGTTTAGGACTTTGCACATGTTAGCATGCTAACACGCTAGGCTAAACCTGCTTAGCATAAACATGCTAGCAGCATTGACGTAGTTAGCATGTTAACTTTAGCAAATGGACTTTGATAACAATTGAATTGAAGCTCTAAGACTGAAAGGGTAGTAAATCACATTTTATTAATCAGTTCATAAGCTATTCACAATAATTGAGCATTTTATAGTAACTCAGATACAAACTTTATACCTCATATTGTATTGTACAATGTTATTGTTCCTTTGCTTTAAACCGTAACCCTAGATTTTCATTATAAAATGAACAAATACAAAATTAAATTCCATTTGCAAATTTTAAACGGCATTAAAAAAAAACGATAGATAAATCACATTAATATAAATCATTTTGTGAGTTTTAGATATGTATTCTGATCCTCAATGTGCAGGCTGATTTAAACACATTTTTCCCACATGGTGTCTAAACTTTTGACTGAAACCAAGACAATGCATGGGGATGCTCTGTGAAACTGGAGCTTTCAGACTTTTGTAATGTCCCTTCACAACATAAGCTCAGACATATCAGACACAGGGACGCGTTGTATGAAAGTATTCAGGCCATCAGATGAAGCTGAACAATAGTGTCTTCCAAATGAAGTTTCGTTACACTTCCTCACAAAGGCCCAACACTGACTTGCTTTATAGTCGGAGGCATCACCTAGCCCCTGGAGGTAACACGAGGCGAGATCCTGACGACTTAATGGCACCGCTTTGGGAAAGACTAGGGATGTGTTACAACTTACAGGAGCTTGTGTGCTGCTACTGTACATGAAGCGTGAAACAGACAGTAACAGGAAGATTATGCCAATTAAAACATATTTCCTGTTCAGTATAAAACTTCCTAACAAATGTTGCCAAGTGCTTCAATGTAACTCATTGTCCTGACCTATGAGAACAAGAAGAGGCAACACTGTTGCATATCTTTTCTTCTGTACAAACACACCCAGTACCCTTTGAACAAGAAGTGTGAATCAGTTAATTTTCAACTACATACTGTACATGAAGCATGTTCGTGCAAGGATGAATGGATTTGTGATAACTTTGAAGTCACATACTTTGTCTTCACACTCACAAAAACGTGCACACACATGCAGTCTTAACACCCAAATAAGGGATAATGATTAGATTGAAAGACACACACATACCTGAATACAATTTTCAGTATATGCATGCACACAATATAAGAAAATGCACTCAATATATAAGAATATAACATTTTTTCTTTCAAGTAACAATGCTTTTAATATATGAGATGTTATTTTGGGTTATTTTCATCTTTCTTGACAAATCTCACAGCGCCTCACCCTCTGCAGTTCCTGTGTGATGCAGCCAGTCTGATTTTGAGAGGCAGTAGTCATGGTGAGAGCCGAGCAGAGTGGACAATTTTGAAGAGGAGCCAATGCTTTTTGATCAGTGGCCGCGGCACGCCTAAGGGCCAGGCGGAAGGACCTGAAAAACCAGCTGCCTGAGATTATTACTCTGAGCGAGGAGCAGCTCATGAGCAACAAGTGAGCAAGCGTGGAGCCTCCTCCTCCTCTTGACTCTCCTCCTACTCTTCACATAAACACCCTGATTCACACAGAAACAGCACAGAGAGGCATCTCTGCTTCTTTTGAACCCTTTTTGTCTTTTGTTTGTGTCCGTCTGTGTGTACCTGTCAGACTGTCACTCTAGCAGCACCTGGGACTTATTTACTCTCTTGGAGTAGCTCACACACTCTTCTTAACTGTTGTGCCT